GAGTCTCATCCGACACTATTCCGAAGATATCCCGGACGTCAGTCTGAGCGAGATTAGAATGGCTCTCCAGCACCTTAAAAACGGTAAGGCCCCAGGCGAGGATGGAATTACAGCGGAGCTTCTGAAAGCGGGTGGAAGACCGGTACTTGAAGTCCTTCAGAAGCTCTTTAATTCCGTCCTCCATGGTGGCATTACACCGGAGGCGTGGAGCAGAAGTGCGGTGGTCTTATTCTTGAAGAAAGGTGACAACGCTCTCTTGAAGAACTACAGACCGATTTCCCTTCTGAGCCGCGTCTACGTGCTGTTTTCGAGAGTCATTACGAATCGTCTCGCGCGCAGACTTGACGACTTCCAGCCTCCCGAACGAGCCGGTTTCCGAAAGGGCTTTAGCACCATAGACCACATACATACCCTTCGGCAAATTGTACAGAAGTCCGAAGAGTACAATTTGCCACTATGTCTGGCGTATGTGGACTATGAGAAAGCCTTTGATTCCGTCGAAATTTGGGCGGTGCTGCAGTCCCTTCAGCGGTGCCAAGTTGACTGTCGGTATATCGAAGTGTTGAAGTGCTTGTACAGTAGGGCTACGATGGCTATCCGAGTACAGAACCAGAGTACGAAACCTATCCAATTGCAGAGAGGTGTAAGACAGGGTGACGTCATATCCCCGAAACTCTTCACCGCTGCATTGGAAGACGTTTTCAAGCTTCTGGACTGGAAAGGATACGGTATCAACATCAATGGCGAGTACATCACTCACCTTCGATTTGCCGACGATATAGTCCTTATGGCAGAATCGCTGGAGGACCTAAGCACTATGCTCAATGACCTCGATAGTGTTTCCCAACGGATAGGTCTTAAGATGAACATGGACAAAACAAAGATCGTGTTCAATGTCCATGTCACACCTATGCCGGTAGTTGTTGGGAGCACTAAGCTCGAAGTTGTTGACGATTATGTTTACCTGGGACAAATAGTCCGACTAGGTAAGTCCAACTTCGACCGAGAGGTCAATCGACGGATTCAACTCGGCTGGGCAGCGTTCGGGAAGCTACGACACATTTTCTCGTCAGACATACCTCAAAACCTGAAAACGAAATTATACAACCAGTGCGTGTTGCCAGTGATGACTTATGGAACTGAGACGTGGTCCTTCACTACTGGCCGTATGAGGAAGCTCAAGGTCGCTCAGCGAGCTATGGAGAGGGCTATGCTCGGAGTTTCTCTGCGTGATAAACTTAGGAATGAGGATATCCGCAGTAGAACCAGAGTAACCGACATAGCCCAACGGATTAGTAAGCTGAAGTGGCAGTGGGCCGGCCATATAGCTCGAAGAACCGACAACCGATGGGGAAGAAAGGTTCTCGAGTGGCAGCCTCGTACCGGTAGGCGAAGTGTAGGGCGTACCCCACGAGATGGAGTGACGACCTGGTAAGACATGCAGGAAGTCGATGGATGCAGGTGGCTCAGGACCGTGCTTTGTGGCATTCTTTGGGGGAGGCCTATGTTCAGCAGTGGACTTGTGAAGGGCTGTAATGATTAAATTCTAATTTAAAGTAGTACTATAACTGTACTACGGAAGAGCTGAACTCTCTACTACAGGTATCAATTTACTTAAAAGAGGGTACCCAAGAATATTGTAACAACTTACTACTTGTTTAAAGCAATAAATTATTATTATTATTATTATTATTTATACGTGGTAGAGCTATGCTGCAGCTATATTAATAGTATAGTTGTAGCATGAATGGGTCCACCACCACGCTCTCACAGAATACCAGCGTAAAATAGCAGCTTGATGCTGCTGTGTTTCGTTTGGTGAGTGTAGAGAGGTGGACACCCATTTTACTGGAAAAGAGGCATTCTATCTTAGTCCACACGGCTGACAACGCATTTGCATTTTAATTCGCAAACGAAGATAGATGTAGATGTCTATGGGCCACAGCAACCGCTTGCCATCAGGTGGACTGTGTGCTCGTTTGTTATCCTTATTCTATAAAAAAAAAAAACTTGAAAAATAGGAAAAAAGTGTAATTCAATTTTCACCCAATTCCAGAATTTAGAATAATTTGAAAGGCGTAGTAAACAGAATTGAGTAGGCGCTAAGTTAAGATTAAGAACCGATGACAATATAATAATTTCATGACCACTACCAACTAGGAATATTACAGCTTATGATAAATGCTTGTTGTTTAAGTTTTATAGTACCTATTGCTATTAATGTTGTTGTTTAAGTTTTTATAGCTGCATAAATTATTTTATCTGACAGACTACAAATTGATCTCTCAAATTACGTGAGGCCTAGAAGAAGGTGCAGAATTACAAGTGCGGCTCGACGGCTTAGTGGCTTTGCAATGAGTTACGCGGATTCAAATCATGCACAGAACAAGTATTTTTATGGCCTACAGGTAATTGCTCCGAGTCTGGATGTTTGTTCTTGTGCAATTTATGTATGTAATTGCCTCCACGATACAGGAGAAAAACCAGTTAATCTTTGAATATCAGTACTTTTTGCCTGTGAATAGGCATTCTGCCTTGCTCCTCAGGTATGACAACGGATTTGCATTTTCTCAACTAGCGGAGCGGTGTTTTGTAATATAATATATTTTGAATAAAACTATTTTTACGGATTTTATCGCGTTTAATTAACTTATTTTATATTCCCGACGTTTCGGGTTAGCTCTGACATCGGGACCTCAATCACCTCAGTCCCCCGTGACCACGGTTGCTGGAAAGCAACCGAAACGTCGGGAATATAAAATAAGTTAATTAAACGCGAGAAAATCCGTAAAAATAGTTTTATTCAATGTGTAGTGTTCGCGTAAATATAAGACATCATAATATATTTTATTACCATTATGTACGTAGTCGAATTAATAAATGTTTTTTCATTTTTCGGATGCTCAGGTTTTCGCATGATGTTTTCCTTAATCGTCGAATACGTATCAAATCAGCTTTTTTACGATAAGTAATTTGTGCCTTGTTTTTTGGGAATTGAACCCGGGTTTTGATACGCCACTAAGTTGTGAGTGTGAATGATACGGTAGGTTATTGTTTTTATCCGGAGTTTCCTTCGTGACACACTGAGACAAACAACGCGACATTTGCATGATTTTCTCGTTTTGGTTGAGGTTGTATACATTAAAATAGCGCCAGGCAAATTGCTCGGAAGGCTGTTACTCTAGCGGTCTTTATAGCGTTGTTTTCCAATGGATCGTTTGTCATGTGGCGTTGATTTGACAATAAGCAAGTCTGCAGTTTTAAACGTCACGGTGTACAATATGATTGTGGCATAATGTGCGTGCTCAAGAAGTTTGGTTATTTATGGCTGGTACACACATTTAAAATTGTCAAGTAATTAAGTAAATTTTAAGTGACTTAATTCGACATGTCTATGAATTCTTGAATGAATGTTGTACGTGGTAGAGCCATGCTGCAGCTATATTAGTAGTATAGTTGTAGCACGAACGGTTCGGCTCGACCGAGGTAGGACCACGCTTAACACTGCTGTGTTTCGTATGGTGAGTGTAGAGAACCGAAGACCCTTTTTACTGGAAAAGAGGCATTCCATCTTAGTCCTCACGGGTGACAACGCATCTGCATTTTGATTTGTAATAGAGGATAGATGTAGATGTCTATGGGCCGCAGCAACCACTTACCATCAGGTGGACTGTGTGCTTTTTGCATTCATACTGCTGGCATGCTTATCGCATCGCACACATTAAGGGAGGGTTTAACAGAACTAACAGACTAACAAAAACAGTTGTTTTAATATATTGTCAGTAATAACTTGCTCATGTTCATATTAATGTAACCTTAAAACATAAAATTTAAATATCTTAATATTATACAAATCATAGATACAAAAACTCTATGTGCGCCATTTAAACATAGTACGACTCTAGTTTTTTTTTGTGATAGATCAACTACTACTAAATATTCATGAATTCTCTATCAAACACTTTAAGATTTTATTAAGCAAAAATGGTTTAGTAACGGTAAATATGCTACAAAAGAGTACCTGACTGATAAGATATTTATAAATGTTTTCATATTTTTTTTTATAGAATAAGGGTTGCAAACGAGCACACAGTCCACCTGATGGTAAGTAGATGCTGTGGCCCATAGACGCTACATTTATCCTCAATTAAGAATCAAAATGCATATGCGTCGCCACCCCCTGAGGACTGAGATGGAGTGCCTCGTTTCCAGTAAAAAGGGTCTCCGGTTCTCTACACTCACCGTACGAAACAGCAGCATTGAGCTGATATTTTACGCTGGTGTTCTGTGAGAGCGTGGTCCTTCCCCGGTAGAGCCGATCAATTCGTGCTACAACCATAATATAGCTACAGCATGGCTCTACCACGTAAAAATATATTTAATTGTATAAAATGTATAAAATATAATATTCAATTGTATAAAATATTGTATTGCAAATTAATTATTTTAAAACCCGCTGCGTTTTGCTGGTTCTTCCCAGGACAAAGGTTTCTTCCAAACTAGTGGTAAAACTTAAATGACTTTCAATAAGTTTTTTTTTTTTTATATTGAATATAAATGATTCTATTCTATTCGATTCTAAATGCAAATTAAATATATCTCAAGTTACACGTTGTATATTAACTGGCCAATATTCCGTATTAAAGTAAAATGTAACTAATAAATGATACACAAAATGGATCTAACGATTAATGAATTAAAAATAACATACATATCTAATTGTATAAAAAAATTATAATTTATGTGTCAATTTTCTAAACAATGGGAATTGATTAAAAAGGTCGGCATATGGAAATGGTGACGTTAGTAATGTTAGCATAATTACCCATAAATTTGTGTTAGGTGGTGATGATTTGTAAGACAGTCACGGGTAGAGGAGGGGAGGGAAGGGAGGGAAGGGAGGTCAGGTGAGGTTAGGCTGTTGGAGAGTCGAACTACTAGCTTACCTCCGCAACTCTGCATTCGCTCTTCACGTGCCACAGTAGGAACGTGTACACACAATGTCGCCTGCGCAGTTCAAACGTAAAGACATCGAGCACCGTAATACGAGGAACGACGCCGTTTTCGTGATCGACAACGTTGTGTATGACGTCACAGCCTTCCTGGATGACCATCCGGGTGGTATAGAGGTGTTGTTAGACAACGCTGGGAAAGATGCGTCGCGCTGCTTCCACGACATCGGCCACAGCGAGGACGCCAAGCAATGGATGAAACGTTACGTCATCGGGGAGGTGGTGGAGGAGGACAAGCTGGAGCTGTACCGACGAGCGATACCGGTAGACGAGAACAGCTCCGACGAGATGACGTTGAGTGGGATCGTGCACGTGTGGGGTCCACCGTTGGTGCTAGCTGGTCTCGCGATCGTCGCTTATACGTTCCTGTTCTCGTAATTGGTGTTCGTCACAATAATTCTAAGTGCTGTTAAATATCAAGTGAATTTTAGGTTATGTAACTCTGCGGACATATGAAGGTTATCGCGTTAAAACAGGTTATTGTTTCTTCGGTTTACCTGTTTTGTTGGGTTTTTGTCTGAGGTTAGTAATTACGCAAAATTACTATAAGGCGACTTTGATCAATGTTCGTCAAATTCTACCTACTATTATAGATATGCATGTATTATATGAGGTACGCAATATATTAAACAAAATTTTAATATAGTTTCAACATCATACAAGTATACCTTAACAATTTGGGAACAAGGTTCAAAATTTTTAAGCGGATGTATGTAGGTATTACACATTTATGATTATAATATATGAAGATAATTAAGTGCAGATGGAAACTGACGTCATATGGCTATTATGCTAGTGAATTTATGTTGTAACCTTACGTCAACGCAATAATAATGATTTGACTAAAACGTAGTGATTACATAATCTTTGGTTTTGGCAATGAACTAGGTAATTTGCAATCTTGACCCATGTTTGTAATATCCGAACGTTTTCTAGTTTGTATTACAATAAAGGTATAGAATATGTATAAACTCTGCCAAATAAATGTCAAAATCTATAGGCGAAAATATTTTTAGGTGTTGATAGCGGTTGAGTTTGATAGTCGTACCTACAGACCTACAGTGTGTACGGGTACCGGACAAAGAAGGTGAGACCTAAACTTGCAATCGTACGTCATTCATATTCGTTAGTTAATTAATGAGACCGTCTTCTTCATTACCATACTTTTAAAATACGGTCTAATTAAACCATTTTCAAATCGTGTTAGATTTACAAATATCCATTGATGACGTTGATAGGTTTTCGTTGCTATTTGATATGCGCGGAACGACTTAAAAATGTCGTTCAAATTTAAAATTAATGCTTCCTTATATTTGCGCAATCACTCCTTACATATTGAACGAAACTAGTTCTTTTTCGTATTTTACAGCGTGTAATTAACTTGTTTTATATTCCTGACCTTTCGATTACTTTACAGTAGCCATGGTCACGGATGGATTAAGTGTAAAATGTCAAGATAACCATGGCTACGTTCAGCCTATAATTATTATTGGATAATGGTTTAAGACATTTATTTTCTCAAAAGATTTACAAATCACTTACAGAGAAAACACTTATTAATTAAAAACATTAAGCCGATTGGCGTAGTTATTACCTACTTAATAATTACTATTATCAATACAGTCTATCAAAAATTCTCTGCTGAACATAGGCCTCCTCCAGAGATTGCCTCATAGGAGGGTGGGATATTTTCCATAGTTGTGACACTTGGCAAGCGGGTTGGCAACCGATATATGTTACTTTTGACCGACTTCAACAAATTTGGGTATTTTTTATGTGTGTTACTTCGAATTTTTTTTCTAGTTGAACCGATTTTGATGATTCTTTATTTATTTGAAAGCTGGTATTTCTCATGTAGTCTCGTATTAATTTGATCAAGATCTGACCAGTAGTTTTTAAGTTATCCTTAATAATGCGTATTTAATTGACTTCTACGAGACTACATTGATGATGTTCTCATCTGCCGACTTCCAAAAATGAGACGGTACTCAATTCGACTGTATGTTTTTTTCATGTGTGTTACCTCATAACGTTTTACTGGGTGATCCGATTTCGATGATTCTTTTTTTATTTGAAAGCTGGTACTTCTCGTGTGGTCCACTAGGACATTATTACATCGCTACTACACTAAGTTACTAATTAACGTCGTGAATAAAAATGTAAACACGATAAAATCCGTAGAAAAACTAGGTCAATTTAATCTTATAAAATTGTTTTCTGTAGTAATGTATATGTTACGCAAATGTGTGTGCTATGTAAATGTGATATAAGACGTTCCATTACAGTGAATACGATATCTATTGTTTAGATCAGTGAAAGGATACATGTACTAACAATTTTTCTAATTCTTGCTTTATTTAAATATATTAAGATTAATAATAAAGTCTGAAAAATAACTCAAGTGCTATAAAATCCGAATCAAAATGTCTTCGTAGAGGACACATGGGCGTTTGGTAATTAAAAAAAGGTTCTTGAAAAGTCAAAGTCAAAAATATTGTATTTTAAATTTGCATTTATAAAGCACTTTTTGAAAGTCAAATACACCGTCGTTTCAACTACCCCTATTGCGGGAGACCCTGTAAGAAGAAGCGGCAAGAAATACATGAGGAGATTATTTTTCTCTTAACAGTTAGAATTTAACTTTATCTATACTCTATACAAATAAATAAAATTGAGGTGTCTGTTTGTAATGTCAAAATTACAGCTTTTTACTAAATACATATGAAAGTATATACGGTACTAATAACAAAAATACAATTTTTAAAGTTTTCGTCGGTCCGTCTGTCTGTCTGTTTGTTCCGGCTAATCTCCGAAACGCCTGGCAGATAGCTAATATCACAAGGAGTAACTTAGGCTACTTTTATTTTAGAAAAAGAATTACGGTTCCGTGCAAAAAAATTAAAACCCCAAATAACACGCGGGCGAAGTCGCGGGGAACAGCTCGTAATATATATAAGTAAGAATGATATAACAATATAAAATAACGGAATGATAGGATATATATAATACTCGACATTGAATAAAACAAATTAATGGATTTTATTGCGTTTAATTTAATTCATTTCGCAGAAACTTGTGTTATTCGAGTATAGCAGGTCATTATGTCACGCATTCTTAACTTTTAAGTGGTTATCTAATTTATAATATCATTTCTAAAGTAATATTAATGTTACATTCTTACATCTTGATCTAAATACTTATGCATCAAACTCAAAAGAAAAAAATGAAGGAGTAATTTGTTTTAATTTATCTTTTTTTTTTGTTACACTGATAAGTTTTTGTTCAAAATTGAACGATGATAATGTGGCTAACACTGTCATCGTTCAAGCTAATAAACTTAAACTCATTAAGGGGTGCAATGTCGATAAACGTTGACGGTGAACAGAATAATCAAAGGTTGTTCATTTTGTTTTCAACCGATATATTTTGTTGGACTGCTGGTAATCAGTCGAGTATATTAGCCTTTAGGGGCAACTCTGCATCTACATTTTGGTTCTCAATCGAGGATAGATGCAGGGGTCTGAGCCACATCAACTACTTACCATTAGGTGGCCTATGTGCTCGAATGTCACCTTTATTCTAAAATGGTGTAATGGAAAAAAAAAGATCCGGCTTAAAATAAATAAAACACGACTACCATAGTAAAATAATGATAAAGATCGGTTGTGTGGTTTTTGAAAGTCATGCACATATATTTAATTTTATATGAAATTATATAAGTACGAATATTTAACATACGAGTGAAACACTGAACATTCACTTTTTGAAATTGGCTAAAAACAGGGAGCAATAGAGTTGACTCGCTAAAATCTTGCGGTACAAATTAATGTATTGCAAGTTGAATTCGTTTTTTGTATACATTAGTCTCTATTTTTACATGCTGCAAAGTATTTAATATACATTTAATGTATCAAATAAAGTTATAAATTAGACATAATATAGTTGCTTGTAATATAACTTTTGTTGTTGTTGTTTTTGTTCTTGTTTTTTGTAGGTTGAAGGTGCCAATAAAGGTGGAAGGTGGTTAATAATGGAAACATAACATTGTAAATACTAATTGTTTTAAATTGTCGACCTAAAAATTATTGTAGAATAAAAATTTAAATCTAAAATTGCCATAGGATCTCGGCAGTTAAACTGTGTTACTACATGTATGTCATGCTACATGTCATTTTATATGTAAAGATGTTCTTTTCATGTTTTTTTTTTTAGTTTTAATCTATTTAATGTTAATTATAATAGAGAATTGTTATTTTTGTATATTTATTTATACCTTCTTTTTTAGGTGTTAGTAATTTTTTTTATAAAACTGACGTGACTAAAGGCCTTACAGTCAAACTGATGGTAAGTGAACACTGCAGTCCATGGACACGTGCAGTCAACTTCAAATTAGGAAGGCTACGGATGTGTTGTTGATGTTAGACTCTGCCTGTATGCTCCTGTTACTAGCATTAGCAGCAGTGTACTCATTGCTGTTTTAGTTTAAAGGATATTGAGAGCAAGTATAACTACAGCTCTTGCGATTGAGCTCGTAGTAAATCAACACTGGTAGTGCCGGTAGAGACCAAACTCACTGACGAACTATAACATTTTTAGGTTCACGTCCTCGTCATGTCGTGAGCTTCCAAGGATTAATATTTAAATATTATAAGTTCTTTAATTTTACAGAGTCATAAGCACATGGAATAGGAACCTCAAGAGTTGGTAAATACTCCCTCTATGAATAGTTTTAAAGATAAATTGGACGAATGGTACAAAGACAATTTAATTCAGTACATTGTTCGTTTCAACTTGAAATGTATAATATAGCATAAACACAGATAGACATATCACATATATAAGCTACTCGCTTATTACTACAAAATAATACATTTTTACACGTGGTAGAGCCTTGCTGCAGCTATATTAAGAGTTTAGTTGTAGCACGGATGGGTCGATTCGACTGGGGAAGGATAACGCTCTCACAGAATACCAGCGTAAAATAGCAGCTTAATGCTCCTGTTTTTCGTATGGTGAGTGTAGAGAACCGGGGAACCTTTTTACTGGAAAAGAGGCATTCTATTTTAGTCCTCACGGCTGACAACGCATCTTCATTTTAATTCGCAACCGAAGATAGATGTAGATGTATATGGGCCACAGCAACTCGTGTGTGCTCGTTTGTCACACTTATTCTATAAAAAAATACATGAATTAATTACAGTATATCAAAAGGCCACTGCTACATATATGATAAACGAGCATACAGTACATCTGATGTTAAGTGAATGAAAATGTATTATCAATTTAGAATCAAAATATAGGATGCGTTGTCACCCCTGAGGGCTAAGATGGAATGGTTCGTTTCCAGTAAAAAGGGTCGTTCCTTTACACTTAGCATA